TCAACACGCTGCGCGTGTTTGTTTAACGGCTGTATTATCGTGTTTTTACTTAATTGGCCTTGGCGCATCCTGTTAATTTCAATTATATTCACATCCCTTGTTTCTTTTTTAGTTTTGAAACAAAACTGAAGTTCATGTTACGTCCTTCATGGTGAGACCTCATTAATCCGAAGTGATTATTCCAAGAAAGGTTTTCCAGATTTACAAATGTCCGGATTAACAAATGTCTGCATTAACAAATATCCGGAATTATCAAGGGCAGATAGTATCAGAAGCACAATTTTTTAAATGGAAAAGATTGAAACTGAAAAGCGGGACAGCCTTAAGGTCCTTGGTTGTATATTTATCTGATACACGCATGGATGCATTGTGGAGAGTGACTGAGTTTCGTTTTACGCCGCATTTAGCAATATTCCAGCAATATCACGGCGGGAGACACCAGAAATGGACTTTCCACAATGTTCCCATTTGGGGAATAGAGCCCGGGTCGTCGGCGGGACGAGCGAACACTTTACCAACGAGGCTACCCCACCGCCCGCATTGTGAAGAGCGTTCACTGATATCTCCAGAAAGTGTGAAAAAGAGGTCACGTTAACCAAACGGCCATGCTGTGCACACTAACATGGAGTAATGCTTTCACTAATGCGTCCCCTATTTCCTGTACAGGAGGATTTCTATTCTATAAGGAGCGATTTAACACGTGGTATCTATCAGTCCGTTGTAAACAATAGACCCCAGTGCATTTATCATAACCGTTTCCTACAGGTGGTTAGGTGCCATTCTATCTAAAAGCAACGAGATGCAGTCAAACTGCCGTGGCTACATCATGTTGAGAAAAGATGCAGTTGCACTGGTCTGACTGGACACAGGATGTAGAGAGAGAATGTAGGCATGCAATATATTCTAATGTTGGCATCCACTGCCGTCACCTAATACCAGCTGTCGGCATTTAACACAATACACAAGAACCACAATGCATGATTACATGCATACAATACTAAGAACCACCACTGTTGCAGGAATTAAGGATTAAGAGCACTATAATAATTATAGGGCCACTTATATCGTGCTAACGCCACGCGATACGGGCATGCTCTCAGCGCATTCAACATAATGAACATTATTAGCCTTGTTAACCCAGGCTGCCTGCGAGGCGCTAGAAGGTTAACAGTCACCTGATCATCCTATCCCACCGGGTACCCATTCACTGCTGGGTGAACAGAAACAATTTTGAACAAACTCACTTGCGGAAGGTGAGACCACATGTGCTTGGTTGTAGGACAGGACAGAAGTCCTAGAAACCCAACTCAAGCTGAAAACACGGTCACCCATCAAAAAACACTCTGTGACCAACGTTGCTTAGAGTTAACTTATTTGTGACCTTGGCCTTATACACAAGGTCACACACCACCACACTATATAACAACCTCAATCCCTAAACCCCATAACCCTTCTTACACCAGAGAGTGTCCTAACCCTTCTTATCGGGACACACTACGGGTGTGAGGATTCACCACCAGTACCCGGGTCCTAACGACTTGTATCCACCAGCAAACAAACCGTCTTCCCACCATGGTTCCAGGACCTCCGGCTTTCGTGGCCTCCGAGGACCCTCCAATTACAGACCAGTGTATTTTGCCATGCATAATTTATAGCATCCATTATGTTGTTTAGCGAGTCCACGGTCTAAATCGAACGGGAAAGCCATCCCTGTAAGTATTTGTTGAATAATTGAGACTGATCGTATGGCGGTCTGGGAGTTTGTCCACGGTGCCCTCGAAGAATGCATCTTCGTCTCTAGGGAGGAAGGCGATAAGTAGCCAAACCACCAGACAATTAGTAAAACATTAGCCACCATTAGCCTCATTCCTTCGATGGACAATGGAAGAAACTGATAGGATTTTGTCACACTTGTACAAGCTAAATGAGCCCCCCTTCCACTAAGAATTCCTGGAAATGCATAGCTTATCGTAAATACTATCATGGCCTTCCAGACAACTAGTTAGCGCAATGTGTTCAATATGCATATTGCATTAATCGTCAAATATGCAGAGATTAAATTCAGATGCACTGAGTCTGATTTGCTCATTAAGATACGTGCGTGCTGTGATCGCTTTCATTCTTTTTTCAATTGAAAAATATTGGATTCGGAAATTTAACATTTCACCAAAGTTGGACCAAATTACCTTGAATAAAAACAAACTGGATATTTGTGTGATTATGATTTTTTAGCATTGTTTTCGAAAAGGAGTTCCTTGACGTTACAGCTATCGAAGTAGAAAAAGGGTTTTAACATTTTTTAATTTTTTTCTAAACAGCAAGTTTGATTCTATTTTAGTTGAATTCCAAACAATAAATCTATTTCGACGGTTACGTGTGTTCATGAAAGTTTAAAGCAATGAAAGCGTCAAGCCTGACGTGCAGTTTTCATCCAAATCTGAGGTGTTTATTTCTCTGTTCATCTTGTCTTAACTCGCTGTCACACAGGCCCACAATAGAAGGATGCATTATCCTAACTAAACATATTGATCTTATTGTCCCCTTTGAAGATATTTGTAGGCGTGTAACATTGGCAAAGAAAGACATTGCATTCTCCTGTTTTTAAGCCCGCAAATTTAAACGTCAATATTCTCGTACAGCCTTCTATTTGATCAAACATGGCGACCAGCGAGAGCATCTCACGATATTTCCAGTTGATATATGATCAGCTGGAAAAACGATGTTTGGCAAGGAAATTGCCAATGGACTTCTTTTAATAGGTTTGCTTTTTTGGTCTTTTAAAAATGAAACGTTGAAAGTCAAGATTGAAAATGGAGTCCATTCATCACCTTTATGACCCCTCGAATGGTTTGATGTGTAGCCCAATAAATGCTCTATGGCATTTGATGTGGCATATTTTGAAACAATTAGACATATCGTAATAGGAAAGTTCAGATCGACAAATATATGGAGCAAGTCGTGCGTTAACCCTTTCAGTAGATACATGAGCTGACCTATAATGCCAAGACATACGGGCATTCACACTTGGTGACCCAGGGTGCATTGCGTTTAAAAGGAAGCCCGTATTTCCGCTACTTCAAATGTGGTTTGACTTGCGATATTTTCCTATGCCTCTGAAGTAGAAAGCGGGGCTCCATACACAGAAAGAGCGAATATTAAGCAGCATTCCATCATAAAAACACATCATAAGTGGTTTCACTATTTGATTTATTATCAAATAGCATGAAATGCGATGTTTTAATGTTTGAAAATTCATATCTGACGTAACAAAATGTATTTGTATGAAATCCTGAAATGTATAATTGGTTTATTTATTTGCAACCTCATTCAGCCATCTTGTCTGTTTGTTGTAGCTTGGCTAGATTTGTATAACCGCTGGAATAAATATACTCTATAAATATACTCCACAACTATTTTTGGCTTCAAAATCTCAGATTTCTGCAGAGCTATGAAGAGAATTAACTTTATGTCGATCGTTGTGAATCCTTCTGTGTCACTTTACAAGATGGCGCTACGGAATGCAGTAAGCTGCAGAATTAGCGAGCGTGGATGTCACCATCCTTTCGTCACGCCGTTCTTTGTAGGGATGACAAATGTGGCGTTAAGTGGCTTTCTTTCTATTGCATTAGAGTAACACTATGGAAAACGTTTCTTTAAAATAATTGTTATATTTTTTTTAAAAGAACCTTTCTGTCCTCTCTGTCAGGTGAAATCAACGACACTAAATGTGTTCAGTTTTATGTAGATTTCTGGTGTTTTAATAAAAATATTCAACAAATAAACATGATACAGGGCTCGTACTGCAAGTATGTCTTGAGGGACGGGTGCAGTGAACACATGTCGTACTAGCAGACTTCACCCTACGCTTTTGGCCAAATGGTTCCAGCTTGTTTGAGAGTGATTAAGGTTGTTTACACCGCTTTTAGCAATATTCCACAATATCACGGCTTAGGACACCAGAAATGGGCACCACACATTGTACCCATGTGGGGAATCGAACCCGGGTCTTAGGCGTGACGAGCGAACACTTTAACCACTAGGCTACCCCATCACCCCAGTTCGTTAAAGAAAAACACCTGTCTTACGATGATCGTCACTTCCATTGTTTAGTATGAATCTTATGTCAATGGTTGCAATACGATCGTTTAGTGTGCCCCTTACTTGAGTCAGGATCGTGGCTTGATTCACCAATCAGCACCATACGGCGTTCATTGGTTCACTAAATGGTAAATGTCTACGATTTCCCCCTACAATAATATTCGTTGCGCCTTGAGACAAAACCTCATTCACTTGTGTTGATATTATATAGAGATGGCCATCAAGCTCTCATTCCAAGCGCTGCTTTACCCCAGGGGCGTAGGAACGGTTTTCAGAGCGGGGGGTTGGGGTGGGGGGTGGCTAATTTATGAAAAGTATTGAAAATCAAAATGAAATTGTAGTTATGTTAAGGTAGATATGTTCCTTCTTTGAGTGGCATTTTTAGAATTTGGGAAGTACAATATTGAACAAACTTTATGGATAACAACTTCTTTTATTCGTGAGTGCGACGTTTCGATACAGATTCTTGTACCGTTGTCAAGCATAATTGGACATGAAGAAGGGGGAGTATATATATACTGGATGTAATAATGTAACAAAGAAAACAACATAATTAACATAATTTCTTTGTTAATGTGCGTCTTGCGACCCGTGAAGATCCGGGTTTGAATTGATCTTCAGTAACCGATGCTTTTCGTAATAGGCAACTAACGGGATCGGGTGGTCTGGCTCGCTGACTTGGTTGTCTGGTCCAGACTCGATTATTTAGCTGGAATATTGCTGAGTGCGGCGTAAAACTAAACTCACTCACTGACTTTGGGTATTGCTTGATGGCAGCCTTAATAACGAGTTATTTTCCTGAAGTTTATACTTTCTTAAAGTGAATGTTCCAGGCCAGGCACATTTTGAGAGTTTATATCTATCGAAACTTGTATGCTTTAACAAAATATTCTCTTTTCCAGATCCAAGGAGTGTTTTGTCTGCCTCGTATTCACACCTCAACATGACAACCTTCTACAGTTTAAAGAAAGTGAGTTATTTTTGTTTGTTTTCTATTTTTCCACCTATGCACCTTTGACCATCCTTCATCGGTCCCAAGACATTTAGGAATAATGTTTTTCCCTAAAACTCATCTTTTATGTCCTCGCGAAACATTTTGCTCAAGGCTTTGTCACTGGAGAAGTTCGTAACAAGAACGATATTCACGTGGAAAACCTATAATGAATTGTTATAATGCATCAAACCCCCGTACACAGCTCTCGTGGTCATATTTTACAACCTTATAATTCTCTCTTATCACACACTGATGATTAAGTCTTGACATTCGAGCCTTGTGATGTAGTTTGTGTATCAATACGGGGAGTATATGAGGCGCAGTAGAGACAGGTTGTCGATGTCGTAATGACGACGCTGTGAGGGCGTCGAAGACACGAGTTTCTTGTCACGCTTATCGTGAGAAGTCTGAACGTGATATTCAGTGTGTGCGCTGATACGTTGACGAGGTCGTTGTTGGTGAAGTCGTGATCGGGAAGAATAATGGCTCTGTCACGTAAGATATTATTTCTGTCATGTAGGACTGCCGACAATGCAACTCAGTAATCTCGGGACATAAACATGCCGTTACTTTAGAGCTCTGTCAGAGAATGTTTGAAAGATGGTGTGTGTGCGTGTGTGTGCGCGCGTGCGTGTATGTATGTGTGTGTAGGTGGTATATAATTTACAATTGTAATCTCAATGATGAGACGTCCCTTAAAGGACAAGTTGACATGAATATAATAAACACATTGTTCTTGCAACAAGTAACGGATTTACTTAATATTTCAAAATCAAAACAGCACCGACAACACAAGTAGCGAATTCATTGTTCGCATTATATCGATTCATATTTTTGACATTTACCGAGAGTTCAATTTCCATATTGAACACACCAGGCCTATGACCCTCTGACGAGGACTGAAAACGAATGACGTCATGATTCATTAGACCCGTTATTAGAATTGCGTTTGGTTTCATGAAAGCAAAATGGTTAATGTTGGATGTAAACTTCTCCCTTTAATCTTTTTTAGAACTGATCGAAGGCGTATATAAAATATACACTTGAAAACTGGATATGATAAAAAATACGAACTTTATGTAATCGTTACTGACCTAAAATCAGTGGTCCGTACACTAGAAACTTGGTGAAATAGCTTACCATAGAATAACGGTATCTTATTTGTTCCATCTTGAACCACAATCAAACATGGGTGTGGCCGTGCGGGAGGTGGGGTAGCCTAGTGGTTAAAGCGTCCGCTCGTCACGCCGAAGACCCGGGTTCGATTCCCCACATGGCTACAATGTGTGAAGCCCATTCCTGGTGCTCCCGTCGTGAACATTGTTGGAATATTGCTAAAAGCGGCGTAAAACCATACTCACTTATTTACTTTTGGCCGTGCGTTTACAATATATTGGTTTACATTAAATTGTTATATAGTCCACGAAGATGTTTCCAGGTGCAACTAATATATTAAAATATACGATAAATATCCTCATCTGGTAAAATAAATATATTTAATGAGGGAAACTTCCTCTATAGTCATAACGATATATGCAGTTCGGTTTAAATGGCAAGACGACGAAACAATCCAAACATTCTAATCAATACTTGAGATAAGTTATGCGACGCAATGATGTAATGTCACCAGTCTCACCGGGTACTCGGTGGTAGCAATAGCATCGCGACCATACTGGAACATAGATGTTAACTGTGAAATTACAAATCGTTGTTGAACTTCTCAATAGATCCTCAAACGACGTGGCATTTATTAATCATTAACTTAAACCATTAGGTGCTCAATATGAGGAGCTGACTCAATGCGCAGAGCTTAATTATTCAGCCCTGCATTTTCATCAGCTCGCTGGTAATCATGAAACCATTCTAACAAAGTATGAGCTTTTGTTGTACAAAATTATAAACTAGATAGAATTTGTTTTTGTTAAAATAGAACTTTGTTATATGATATCGGCGGTACTTTGAAATTAAGATTTAACATATTAGAATCCAATTACAAAATTGTTAATTTATGAATACGTCATCCCATTAATCAATAGTGTAATTCAATATCCATGTAAGATATAAGGTATATAAGGTAGCAATGTTTATTGAATCCTATTGTTTGATACGGGTTATAGGTGAGCCACTGTGATTCTATCTAAGGCGAATTAAGGTTGAGGTTCCCAGCTTCAGTTCTAATGGCAGCGGTCTGAGTAGGAAATATGGCGACTTTTATGTCGTGAGGTTGACGGTAGCCAGGTGCATTAAACGACGAAAGTCTATGCTAGGGCATTGGTATACCGCATACCACAGGCGCTGGTAACATCTTGAAATTATAACTTCAACGCTCATCGGCAAAATCGATCGAATTAAGCTTTTTTCCAAAAGTCGTTTTTCTTCAGACGGAGTAAATTTGATTCGATTCTGGAAGAGAGTCTTAGAAAGTCACTGCATTGACTGAGGATGGCTTAGCTTGGTTAGGCAAGCATAATACAAGCGAGAAGGGCTGTCGCGGTCTTTACGCTCATATCACGCCAGGCTTGTCTGGTGACGTTAAGAAATAGCAGCATCCTTTTGAATGTGAGTTGCTGCTGCTATGCCAGCATCCCAAGCCTCTTGCTCTCTAGTATTGAACTGTAAAAGACTTTGTTACAAGATGCTAGCTTTCAAAGGGCAGTGTACAAACGGGTCCGCTCCATAAAGGGAATAACTAGAATTGAAATTTGAACTTTGGCCTCAATTAGAACTAAATATAGTGGTCTATTTACATCAGGAGCAATGCCGGAGGCAGGGGGTTGCTTAACGACAGTTGGTTTTCGATTGATGAAGTCATTTGAGGCGAGCCACGCCCCTCGACAGAAGGTAGTTACGATGTAATGACTTCGAGATCAATGATGACAAGATAAAGAACACCATTAGTCTCATGAGTACGTAGCACCTGGCCCCCTCGTCCAAAACCTGTTATCCCCCTGACTGGGATTTGTGTAATACCACCTCCGTTGCTTGAAAGTATTTTTCGAAATAATGGGTTTGAAATATTTATGGGAAATATGATATGTTAAAAACACAAAGCTTGACATTTATTTAATGACTGTTGTTGTTTTTAATCTATCCATCCCATATGTTGCTTGTTTTACTGTAAAGGTAACGGGATGCTTGTGGTAACCATAACGACATCCAATCCGCGCCCCACGTGTTATTTGGCCTTGGTTTGTTTTCACAGCTAGGGACCTATTCTGTTTTGAGGGCAATTCCCGTGCCAGAAGCTACGGACTAAATATGTACAGAGTAGTAAGACATTTAACATTTAGGAAAAAATATTATACCGGTTTGCGTCAGGGAATCAGGAAACCTAATTCGGAGTTTGTTCCTTATCTGTCAGATCTCGTGAGATATCGCGAAGACTCTTCCGGTACCACATATGTTGGGTGCCGCCAGGGGGCGTTCAATCTTACATCATGAGGAGTCATTATAACGGGATTGAGGGGCCTCCGTTATATATATATACGTTATCGTGTGTGCGAATCTGTCATTATAAACGATTTACGGTCCAATCTCGAGATAATGAGGGATCGGACGATTTTATGTTGGTTTCAGCCCCGAAGGAAGAAATATCAAAGTGGGGGGCTGGTCCCGAGCCCTTATATCAATTGGGGGGAGCGTAGGGGATCTGTCACAGATCCTGATTGGGATGTGGTTTCCTTTGTGTACACTGAAATGAATACCAAACTTACATTTTGGCCTTTTTCTATGTTTGACGTGTTTATAAACACCATATTCCTAACCTCCTAACACAAGAGAGAGAGAGAGAGAGAGAGGGAGAGAGAGAGAGAGGGAGAGACCCAACAGGTGCTTCTAATTAAATTAATGAACACATGAACACAATGACACAACAATGATGTCATTGAAAATATCATAGACTGATATTATTTATATTATACAAACACACAGAGAGAGAGAGAGAGAGAGAGAGAGAGAGAGAGAGAGAGAGAGAGAGAGAGAGAGAGAGAGGAGAGACCCAACAGGTGCTTCTAATTAAATTAATGAACACATGAACACAATGACACAACAATGATGTCATTGAAAATATCATAGACTGATATTATTTATGTTATACAAACACAGAGAGAGAGAGAGAGAGAGAGAGAGAGAGAAGAGAGAGAGACCCAACAGGTGCTTCTAATTAAATTAATGAACACAATGACACAACAATGATGTCATTGAAAATATCATAGACTGATATTATTTATATTATACAAACACAGAGAGATAGAGAGAGAGAGAGAGAGAGAGAGAGAGAGAGAGAGAGAGAGAGAGAGCCAGTGAGATGGGAGATTCATCCAGACGAAATCTAGCCTTGCTTCATTAAGGGCTTTAGCATTGCAAAAAGGGCTGATCGGGAAGGAAAATAACGGTTCAGGGACTGTGAGACAGACTAGTGTTTCCAAATTGTGCCCTGCCACTTGCAGACACGAAGGAACAGGAGTTGATAAAAGTGTTTGATGAAGACCAGGAACCATGAGAAATGAGCGCAAATGGCTGAAAACTCTCCAAGATTTATTAGAAAAGATGTAAAAGACGAACACCCAAATCGTCTACTCCTGTGGCCATGGGTCTCGTAACATATCTTTATAGCTGATATATCGTAGTCTGTACCATTTTGCCATGATACAATGGCTGACAATGTGCCGGTAGTTTTGTAAATACTTTGGAAACCCAGGAAATTTTCAAGATGTTGTCTTGAATAATTCAAATTGCTTGTGTATATAGTCAATATAGGTTCGTGAATATTTCAGCAAGTGTTACAATTTCCTAACAGGTAATCAAGCCCGTAAACAAGTGAGTGAGTGAGTTTAGTTTTACGCCACACTCAGCAATATTCCAGCTATATGGCGGCGGTCTGTAAATAATCGAGTCTGGACCAGACAATCCAGTGATCAACAGCATGAGCATCGATCTGCTCAATTGGGAACCGATGACATGTGTCAACCAAGTCA